CTGACCAGAAGTGGAATTTCTGGATCATATGGTAATTCTACTATTTTTCATTTCTGAGGAACCACCATACTATTTTCCACACTGGCTGCACCATTTTACATTCCCACCAACAGTGTACAAGCATTCCAGTCTCTCCACATCCTGGCCAACATTTGTTATTTTCTGGGGGTTTTGTTTCTTCTTTTTAAAAATAGTAGCCATCCCGGTGGTCTTGGCATCCTTGTTGAAGATCAACTGACCACACACACGAGGGTTTATTTGTGGGCTCTCTATTCTATTCCATCGGCTTATACGTCTGTCTTTATGCTAGTAACACACTGTCTTGATTACCGTAGCTTTGTAGTAACTTCGGAAATTAGGAAGTGTGAGACCTCCAACTCTGCTTCTTTCTCAAGATTGTTTGGCTATTCAGGGTCCCTTGAGATTTCATATGAATTTTAGGATGGATTTTTCTTTTCTTTTTAAAGATTTTATTTTTTAAAAAAGATTTATTTGTTGGGGCGCCTGGGTGGCTCAGTTGGTTAAGTGACTGCCTTCGGCTCAGGTCATGATCCTGGAGTCCTAGGATCAAGTCCCGCATCGGACTCCCTGCTCAGTGAGGAGTCTGCTTCTCCCTCTGACCCTCCTCCCTCTCTCTCTCTCATTCTCTCTCTCCCAAATAAAATCTTTTTTTTTTTTTAAAGATTTTATTTATTTATTTGAGAGAGAGAGAATGAGAGACAGAGAGCATGAGAGGGAGGAGGGTCAGAGGGAGAAGCAGACTCCCTGCCGAGCAGGGAGCCCGATGCGGGACTCGATCCCAGGACTCCAGGATCATGACCTGAGCCAAAGGCAGTCGCTCAACCAACTGAGCCACCCAGGCGCCCCATCTCCCAAATAAAATCTTAAAAAAAAAATTTATTTATTTATTTGAGAGAAAGAGAGTGAACAAGCGGAGGGTAGGGAGAGGGAGAGAATCTCAGGCCGACTCTCTGCTGAGAGTGGAGCCCAATGCAGGGCTTGATCCCAGGACCCCGAGATCATGACCTGAGCAGAAATCAAGAGTCGAACACTTAACCAACTGAGCCACCCAGGCGCCCCTTAAAGATTTTAAGTAATCTCTATACCCAACATGGGGTTCGAACTTACAACCCCGAGATTAAGAGTCTGACTGAGCCAGCTGGGTACCCAGCAAAAGATGTCATTGGGCTTTTGATACTATAGGACTTTTTTTTTTTTTAGAGAGAGAGAGCCTGTATGAGTGTGTGGGGGTAGGGGTGGGGTAAGGAGGAACAGTGGGAGAGAGAGAGAGAGAGAATCCTAAGCAGGCTCCATGCGCAACACAGGGCCAGGTGTGGGGCTCGATCTCATGACCTGAGCCGAAATCAGGAGTTGAACCCTTAACCGACTGAGCCACTCAGATGCCCAGGTACTATAGGACTTTCAAGACCAGAATCTGTAATATTGCATTTTGAATGGCTTGTGTTCCTGCTAGATGGACTCCTCTTTTGCCCTGCACTGTATCTTGTGTGAGCAAGGATCTCAGAGGAGAGGCTCACTCTGAGTCCAGGATGGGTGCACAGCAGCAGGAGGAGCTGGGGCCTGGAAGTGAGAGGCAGGGTCTCAGGAGATCAGCAGCACAGGACTCTGGCCAGAGGTACTGGAAAACAAGCCCCTCTGAACCCTGGGGACAGCAAGGAGGATCCTGGGGCTCCCACTGCCTGTGGGACAGGAGCGGGAGGAGATTGGGCCCAGGCCAAGGGAGGAAGGCCTGGCAGGCTCAGATCATGGCAAGGGGCCACTAGAGGCTGCATACCCTGGTGACTCTGGCTGCCATTGGCGAGGGACACCTCCACAGCCAGGGGCCCTGCCCACACCCCTCCCTGGGTAGACACTGCCACCTTCTGGCTCTTTGTTGACCGACTGCCCCACCCCATCCCAAGAAGAGCTTTCTCCGGACCAGAAACAGGAGATGCAATGAGGTTTCCTTTACCGGCAAACAATCCTGTTCTCCTGGGGCCCCACCCAGGTCACTTGTAGTAGAATCGGTCTCCTCCCACTAACGGCTTAACACAACCCTCACCATTCTACCTCTCCACAGATAGCTTTACTTGCCTTCATTTTCAGTTGATTAGGGGCAGGGCCTCACTGTGGAGTGCTGTGACCACTGGACCACTGGGATCCACAGGACCCCTGGGATAGAGGCGTCCAGGCCACGACACAGCTGAGGCCCTTCTCCGTTGTCTCTCAGTCTGATGGTTGGTTGGTTGTTTTTGCTGGAAATCCCTAGCACCTTCCAACTATTGTTTCCTCTTAGGCAGGCCTGCTGGGATCCCTGTAACCAGTTAGCCAGTTTCTCGAGTTTGTCAAGGTGCTTTTCTCCCCGCTCTTCTACAGTTCATTGCTTCTCTTTCTCTCTGTCTCTCTCTCTCTATTACCTGAACTGTGAGCACTTTCCTCCTGCCCGCCCCCCATCCCCCAATTTGGCCCAAAGCCCTTTGTTTTGATGTCTCAAACTCAGTGCTGAAACTCAAACTCCACCAGCAGGCACTACGGGGAGACCCAGCTCTTCTTGACTTTCCATCTTCCCATTCTCAAGTCCCAGACAGAGAAGCGAACTTGGGCTACCATGTTGATTGGCCTGGGGAGGCCCTTAGCTCCCTCAGATTCAACAGGAGATGGGAGGATGGGGAGTGGGGAGCTGGTGGAGGGGCCACGTTCCATCCCTCCTCACTACTCATCCCCCACAGGCCCCCATCTGCTCTCCTTTCCCTGGGCTTGAAGACCCTCTTAATCCATGTCTCCCTCCGCCCTTCTCATGAGTAGGGCAGACCTACTCATTGGGCACCTCCAGCAATACAGTTCCTCCTTCTTCTCCCCAACCCCTGCCCCATACCACATGCTTCCCACTAGAGGTTGGGGCACCTCAGAGGTTCCCATGGAGATTAGTCTGGGGACCAGTCTTCTGGAAGCCCAGAACTTCACAGCCTGAGGAGGGAGCAGACCACAGAAAGGCACTCACCTTCCTTTCCACCCCAAGTGCGCCTGTTAGATATTCTGGAAACAGGAGTGCTCATTCCCAGGGTCCCTAAGGTTGCTAAGGGCACCTTGAGTCTGTCTGTATCCCATGGGCTTGGCCTGGAACTTCCAAAGCGGCCCAGAGCCATGAAGTCTAGCAGTGCAGATATGGATTGGCCCTTTTGTTCCCAAAGGGCTCTGTGCGGTGAACTTGAGTAACGCCGGGAAGCTCTGTAGGAAACGAGAGGAATGCCCTCTCGTCCTGATGACTGTCCTGACCATCAGACCTAGAAGGACCAGGTTCTGCTGACACACCCCCACCTCCACTTGCCACTCTCTTTTTGGAAGTTTGTGCAGGCCATTCCAGTTACCACCATAATGCTCTTTTCATAGTCAGCTTCACTTAAAAGGCCTCAATGACTTCCCACAGATCCTGGAATAATGGTGTCCTTACCATGTCTTCAAGGCCCAATGTGAACCCTGCCCATTCCCCTGGACTCACCACCTCTCCCTCTCTCCTGACTCACTATACTGCAGGCCCACTGATCTTCTTCTCCCCCGCCACCTCCCACCAATCTTCTTGGGCTGGTGGCATCCCAAGCCTGTCTCGACCTCAGGGCCTTTGCATTTGTTGTTCCTTCAGCTCATAATGTCTTCACCCTGATCTCCCCATGACTGGCTCCTTGTCATTTGGTTTGCAGCTCAAAAGTCCACCTTCCCTGACTACTCCAGTCTAGAGCAGATGCTCCTTTCCCTTGTGTCCTGTCCCCTCGTCCTATTTTATTTTCTGCTCCACATATATCACTTTCTGAAGCTTAAGCTTCTGGGCCTCCTCCAAGCGTCAATACCTAATTTTGTATTCTTTTCTTAAAAGGAGGCCCCTCCCTAGCTGACCCAACCGTGCAAGCTTAAGGTCTCCCAGAATGTGAATCCATTTGTAGCCAGAGCAAAGGACCGGGCTGCACTGGGGACGTCCTGTGCCTGTCTCTGGCAGGGAGACAAACTCAGAATTCCCTCTGCCAGGCTATTTTGACAGGCGCTTGGCCTCCCCATCTCCTCAGGCCTGGGTGCCAAGAGTAAGCCTTGCCCAGAAATCTTGGTAACTGTCCTGCTCACTGGGCCCTGGATTCAACAGGCGGTAGGATGAACAGAGCTGCTATTTGTCTTTGTCTTCCTGGACAAGCCCTGCCTTGACACCCCTGAGAGACATAAACATTCTCAGTCGCAGCCATACAGTGCCAGACTGCTCAGCAGGGTGACAGAAAACAGACTTTTATGGAATCTTTCATGTCTTCCCTTCCCAAACTTTTCTGCAAAGCTAAACCTTCAGTCTGCCACCTACCCCATCTCTTACCAGCTTGGGCAAATATTTAGCAGACAGGATTAACCCTCCCATGGCCTTGACCTTGGCAGACCTGGCTAGTTGATCACAGGGCTCTTTCCAGAGGGCTCCTGTGTAGCCACTACCCATAGATCAGGGAGGAAACCTATTTGCCTCTTCATGAAAGTCAGGTCTAAATTATCAAAGAGGGGGACACCTGGGTGGCTCAGTCGGTTAAGCATCTGCCTTCAGCTCGTCATGATCTCAGGGTCCTGGGATCGAGCCCCACATGGGGTTCCACGCTCAGCGGGGAGTCTGCCCCCTTCCTCTCCCTCTGCCCATGCCCCCACTCGTGCGCTCTCTCTCGCTATCTCTCTAATAAATAAATAAAATCTTTAAAAAAAGATTATCAAAGAGGTAAATCTGTGTCAGAGGAAAAGGGCTGGTGCTTGCAATGAATTCCTCCTTCTAGGCTGAGCCCAGGGAGGCCAATTCCAAGGACGTATTTTCTGTTGGATCAAGTAAGGGGAGACCTTGGAGACCACAGCACCTTGTGGTACATCCCGTGACACGGTGGAAAGTCACTGGCCCAGAGCTAGAAGTCCTGCCCTGCTCTGGGCAAAACGACTCACTTCCTCATTCTGCTCAGGCTGCTGGAGCAAATTACCATAGACAAGGCAACTGCAAAAACAAATATTTAATCCTGACAGTTCTGAAGGCTGGGAGCTCCACGATCAACGGGCTGGCTGATGCTGTGTCTGGCGAGAGCCCTTTCCCAGGCTGCGGACCACCAACCTCTTGAACCTTCACATGGTGGGAAGAAATCCCTCACTGCTTACTGGACGGCCTCGGTGAGCTGTCCTTAAAACTTGGAGAGTGTCACCTCCTGGGGACAGAAGCAGTAAGAAAGGAGACGATGAATGAGTTTGATGAACTTACTGACCATAGACATAACCAGCTTCCGCAAAGAAGTCCAGGTATAGGGCTGCTGGGCCATGACAGCTAGGGGACTGTCCCACACGTACGTTACCTCCTACTTTAGCTGCGTCTCCAGGCAACCTCCCAAGCCGCTGGTTACAAGCCCCACCACGCCCCTTGGTGCCCCCAACTATTCACCCCCCTCACTCTCCACCTCCTATTTATCCGAAGGATTAGAGGCCACCAGGCAATGCCCAGCGCAGCTCACTCCTCGGGCCCCGAGGCGGATGTCCGCCCACCCCACTGTCTGCAGCTCAGACCCCTCAGCCCGTGGCCACTGCTGCCTCCTGTCATCACTCTCTTCTGTCACTGGCATCTTCAGCCTCACCAAGGCTAAGGACATTCCCAGTTTAAAACACCAACAAAGTAAAAGCTACACCGCAAAAGCCCTCCTTCCGTCTAGCATGTGCCTCCTGCGTTCTTACCGGAAGAGAGGTCTACACTGGTAGACCCCACTCTGCTACCTCCTGGCCTTTCTTCAACCCACTGGGGTTAGGTTCTTCCTTGGCCTGCTCCAGCTTCCTCATCATCTGGTTAAGAAATAAAGAAAAGGCCCCTGCCAAGATCACTGATGGTCTCTGGATCGTCCAATCCAGGGGACAGACACCTTTGGTGTCCATTTACTCATCCACTTTGTAGCTTCCCCACTGCGGACCATCACCTGGACAGCTTGCACTTTCTGTGACAGCCCTCGGGGGCCCTTAAGTTCTGGTGTTCCCCCAGGGTCTCATCAATGGTCCCTCCCCAGCCCCGTTCCACAGCACACCCTCTCCTGAGCAATCTTCTCAGACCCATGGCTTCTACAACCGTCTCTATGCCCGAGAACGCTTAGTAGGAAGCAACGTGTTAAAGAATGCAAAATAACTGTGCATACACTGAGGAGGATACCACATGAAGAGACATTTGAGGGAGAAAGGAAAAATACCGGGTCCTTCCCATACACCGTGGGCAACTTAGCACACTACCCCAAGCCCTGGATTTCTCAACCACAGGACTTGGGACAAGAATAGTACCTACTTCATAGGGTTGCTATGGGGCTTAAGTGGGGTAATTCTAGAGCAAGCTCCCAGAGCATGTAGTTGTCAACACGGCAACTGTCTCTGTGACTTGCAGAGGTAGCATGCAAGGGAAAGAAGAGAAGTCAAATGAGAAACAGTAGTTTGGATCCAGGCTTGGAAACATACGAGGACAGTGGACTGGTGGGGTCTGTTCGTCAAGGGCATGCCTAACCCATGAACACAGAGGTCATGGGGCTGAGAGCCCAGGAGCAGGCGGCTGCTCTCCTTCTGGCCGTCTGGATGACCTTGTGAGCACCTGACATGGGTTCAGCGAATGTCTGGCCATGGTGTCCCGTGTGCACGTCTCAGGCATTCCCGAGATAGTCTGTCCTGAAGTGTGTGTGTGTGGGTGGGGGGGGAGTGGCGCGTGCGTGCTGGTGGCTTGGGAAGATAAATAGCCTAGAGCCAGGAAAGGAAAAGGTCACCTTCTGGGCTGTGTCGTGGGGGAGGGAACACGGTTCCCAGGGGAATGAGCACTTGTCCTTAAGAAGTACATTGAGCCCGTCCTTAGCACTTGTCCTGGTGCCAAGTGCTGAACTAAACATGAATGTTATTTGTCCATGATTACGGGCTCCAAATGAGGACCTGAGAACTAATTCGGTGATGGCTAGAGCCAGTTTATACAGGTTCATGAGAGTCCATTATTATATTTTCAGGAATTCTGCAAGCCAGTTGTTAAAGCCAGCCATCATTAAAAATTAAGTTATAG